TTTTACAGTGGGGAAAATAAGTATTTAGTCAGTCACCAATTGTGCAAGTTCTCCCACTTAAAAAGATGAGAGAGGCCTGTAATTTGTAAATTGTAAACTGTAAATTTCCACCATTATTTGCAAAAAAATTCTTTAAAAGTCAGACAAAATGATTTTCTCAAATTTTTTTTTCACATTTTGTCTCTCATAGTTGAGGTCTACCTATGTTGTCAATTACAGGCCTCTCTCATCTTTTTAAGTGGGAGAACTTGCACAATTGGTGACTGACTAAATACTTATTTTCCCCACTGTATGTCTATTGGCTGTACAACAAATTGCCCCTCGGGGATAATAAAGATATTGAACCTGAACTTTTAGAGGTCCATTTTGGAGTTATTTAGCCCTCCCCAGTCATTTGATCCTAAAATTAACCCCTTGATTCTATGATTTGGCCCTTCCCACCCTAATATTAACCCCTATGCCTCAGTTTTGGCTGCTGAAATTAATGTGAAAGTAGTTAAAGTCAAAAGTGAAAGAAAAACCAAAGAGAAGAACCAACATTTTTCAAAAAAAAAAAAAAAACAGAGCAAATGCAACTAGCCAATCAGTGTTTATGCTTAGAAATGCCTACTGTTTATGCATTAGAATGCCTACTCACTCTGCAGAGATCCCCTGAGGAAATCCACAATATGTCTGTTCAGTTCTTGTTCACCCATTTCCACAAATCGCTAAACTTGACTTGTTTATCTCCTCAGTTTGTTTGTGCTGTGGCAGACCTGCACAAGTTGCGAGGCTCTCTGGAGAGCCTGGGGATGGAGGTTACATCTGCTGAGTTCGAATATGTTCCTCGTAATACCATCTGTCTGGACGCCGACCAGATCGAACAGGCTTCGATCCTCATAGACGCTCTCATTGACTGTCCAGATGTGGTGCACGTGTGGGACAACATCCAGGCTGACAGCTGAGGGCTGTTCTCGGACTCTCTGCGGACACTGACTGTGTGTGTGAAATATTTAATTTCACTGCTAAACAGTTTAAAGGGATCCCGATTAGTTGTAACATTAGACTTTATATGATAAACATATACTTCAGCTGTAAAATAAAGACTGTAAAAATGCTGTAGGATGTTCAGTTTTTATAATTTTTAAACTAAAAGTTTAAAAATATATTACACGGATGGGGCCATTTTATTTACACGCAAAGCATTCTGGGTAAATGATGACATCAACTAGGTCATCGGTGTGAGGCTGCTAGTGAGCTATATCCACCCTGAAGGTTAATCTTGGACAATATCTGATGATCGACTCTTTTAAATGAAACCAGAGAGCGTTGACAGAGAGGAGAAGGTAGAAATGACTCGGCCTGTAACTGAAAATATGGATGGAGGACAACAGAGCTGCTTCACGAAGGAAGAACCTCAGCTTAGCCTGTTAGCTTTAGCATTAGCCCCAATGCTATCACCATATATATGTATTAGCTCAGCGCTACACATTCTCCTCTCGTCACTGAGGTCCTCCATCCACTTGACAGAGAGGGGAACGCAAAAATGACTCAGCCTGCAACTGAAAATATGGATGGAGGACATTAGTTTAGCTTGTTTGTCGTGCTAGCACCAAGCTAATACATATAAGGCAATATAGCGTGGGCGCTAGCGCAAAGGCTAACAGCCTAAGCTGAGGTTCTTCTTCCATGAAGCAGCTCTGTTGTCCTCCATCCATATTTTCAGTTCCAGGCTGAGTCATTTCTACCTTCTCCTCTCTGTCAACGCTTTCTGGTTTCATTTAAAAGAGTCAATCGTCAGATATTGTCCAAGATTAACCTTCAGGGTGGATATAGCTCCCTAGAAGCCTCGCACCGATGACCTAGTTGATGTCATCATTTACCCAGAATGCTTTGCATGTAAATAAAATGGCTCCGTCCGTGTTAAAATATATTTTAAAAAATTTACAAAACTAAACAGCCTACAGTATTTTTACAGTCTTTATTTTACAGTTAAAATAGATGTTTATCAAATAAAGTTTAATGTTACCACTAATTGTGGATCCCTTTAACAACCTGATAACTTCAAAACGCTGCATGTCGTCACAGAAAACAGAGGCTTTCCCACTGATGCTGTCTGTGTGGGAAGACTGGGAAAAGAATTTGCCACTGCTAAGACACAGAACGGTAGTTTAAAGGCCTCCTCGGGCAACCTGAAATCACCACCCTGCAGGATTTTTCTACCAGCTGTTTTAAAAATAAACTTCTTCAGAATGAAGGAGAGTGAAAAATTTCTTTACAGTTGAGTACTACAGAAAACAAAGATGTGAAAGAGCCAAAACATCAGTTGAAACATTACACGTGCAGAAAAAGCATTTATCTATTATGTATCAGTTTTTAAATAAATCTCAGAGCCCCAACTATGAAAGTCTAAACCATGTGTCAAACTCAAGGCCCATGGGCCAAATATGGCCTGCCAAACAGGGGTGGTTCTAGGGGCAGGGCCACAGGAGCATTGGCTCCAGCTGAAATCTGATTGGCCTCCTGAAGTGCCCCTGTCCTGTCATTCATCTGTCTTTTGTCTGGGAGTGATGACGGTGGATGCAGTTCCATGTTCAAACACTAGTGCGCTAATGAGTCAAATAGTAAAGTCCAGAATGAATCAAGCTTACAGAATTCTTCTTCTCTCCTTAAGAAAATTAGAACAATCCTGTAAAAAAAGTCTTTCATCCGACAAATGATGGTTGGATTTTTTCACACGTTGTGTGTTTGAGAATATTTTATCTATGTACAATAAAATGTATGAAAAACTGGGAATTGACTGAGAATATACAGTGCAAGATTTTTTTTGGTACCACTTTACAATAAGTCTCCCCTTATAGAAGGCTTAAAAAGAGTTTATAGATAGGTTACTAATTCATCTGTAAAGTTTACACTTTATAAATCATTAATAAATGTTTATTATGCAACAATTAAGGACGATAAAGACGAAACTGTCCAGTTTCTTACCAAATAATGAGACAAATCTGTTCACGTACATATTACATCTAAAGGTAGTATATTAAACATTTCAGAGTGGGTTACTACGTTGTAAGCACAATGATAAACACATTTTAACATATTAATACTGTATTACTGCATTATAAATATTCACAACTGTCAAAGGGAGACTTATCAAAGTGTAATACAGTACACTATTTTTAATGACAAACATTTATAAATGCCAAAAGTTAGTCTTTAATGTGAAAAATCATTTTTAAAACTTAGTGTTGATAATATTTGAAATTATTGTTCGAACATGTAATTACTATCAACAATGTTGATGTATCAAAAAACTAAAAAAAACGTCATGTTAACATACCAAATAATCCAACCCAAACTACAGTTTTATTTTGTRCAACAGGGATCCCTTTAATATGTGTGGATATTTATAATGCAGTAATACAGTAAATTATTATTTGTTAAAATATGCGTTTCCTAATCATTATTGTGCTTTCAAGGTAGTAAACTAGTCTGAAATGTTTAATACCCAAACAGATTTGGCTCAGTATTTGGAAATACACCAGACAGTTTAGTCTCTTTTTTTTTTTACCTTAATGCATAATAAACACTTATTAATAATTTATAAAGTGTTTACAGAATAATTAATAAACTATCTATAAACTCTTTAAAAGCCATCTATAAAGGGAGCCTTATTGTAAAGTGGTACCCTATAGAATACATTACATTACAAGTGTTCGAACATATATGACTGGTTAAATGCATACATCTTAACAAAACTGGGGGTTTGTGTGAAAGGATGCTGAACAAAGGCTTGGCCCCTCTATGAATATTTTGACCTCTTGATGGCCCCTTACTCAAAAATATCCTAGCTCCGCCACTACTGCCACAGTATTTTTTGTGGCTCGCAAGAGCTTCAAAGATGTAATAATGTTTTAAAATAAATGTATGCTGTTTAGTATTGACCATAAACTACATCTCCCATAATGCTGATTGATTATTTTACCTGCAAATGACGACATCCCACAACTAGGTGAATGTGCAAAATTTGCGGAGTAAAATCTCCATTTAGTCACAATTTAGCTGGCTACTTTTTCTGAAGCCCAGTTGTACTGACAAGTGGGAATTTCCCACTCACAAGTCAAATTTAAACTGGGACGCCCCTCCAGTTGAAATTATCTGAAAGTGTGAGAGTTCACCACGACAGTGAGTAAAACTCTTGTATGTATTATTTCATTGGTACTGTATTTATTCATGCATACTGTAATACTAGAAATTTAACCCTAAAAATCATCCATAAGGTGTGTGTGTGTGTGTGTGTGTGTGTGTGGGTAGTATTATACACGGGTTATTGATAATTAGATTTTTAATGCTTCTTAAGCTCAAAAATGATCGTATTATACTCAAGATCGTACTATACATGAATAAATACAGTATTTTTGTAATATTTATTTTACATTTAGTCAGTTGTACATGTAAGTATTTATAAGAGGACATGTTAAAATGCTGTTTCTATGCATGAAATTACACATAGAGCTCAGTTGTCTGTGCTCAGAAATGAGACAAGGAACGTGACGTTTTGTGTTTAGTCAAAGTTAAACATAAAACAACTAAAATAATTACAACTGGCCCTTTGAGGGCCACATAATGCTCCTGTGGCCCTCAGTGAAAATGAGTTTGACATCCCTAGTCTTAAAGAGACGTACATGCCTAATTCCGTTTACATGTTGAGTCACGGTCTAATATCTGATTATTTCTTTAATTTTAAAGCTTTAATCTACCCAACAACATTTAATTTATTTCACAGAAACCTCTGCTCAGAAGCTTCATTAGAAGTGTAAAAATTGAGCACCTCTCTGATTYCTGTTCTGTACTGATTTAAGACTCACCATCTATCAGCCAGACARTTAAACAACAAAATAGCATGCTTGTTTTTAAAGCAGTTGCCATGGTCACAGTTATAAAAAGCCCACTGTCAAATGATGAAATCACAAACAGCCCTCCAGAACCATCAAAACACACTTTACACCTAGAATAATGCCGACATCATCGTTAGAGTAGAAACAAAGGGTGTTCTGCTTAAGTCCAAATGCAGGGTTTTACACATTTGTTATTTTGGGTTTGCAGTTTCTTTTTCTCACTTGATCCTAACATATGACATTTTTAATAACTGCAGGATTATTCAATAATTTATATTGGTTAATTTAAAATTTCTTCTGTTATTATCAGAAGTAATAAACATCTCTTCTTAAAAAAAACAACATTCTAGCATAACTTAAAGGAATGCATATCACCCGCTGCCTTTCATACCAGGGTTTTATAATAAGATCATGATAAGAAATGAGACTTGACCATCAGTTTCTGATAACAAATCTGTAAACATGTTGGTTTTTAGAGGAAAATCACTAACATTAAAACTCAATTTACTTGACATAAAATACTTAAAATTGGATTCACACAAATCTGTTTACACTAAAAACACTAGACAACTGTATTTGCACCAGAACACGTCATTAATCAGTTTGAGGAAGAAGCCACTAAATCACTTTTCTCCTGGATTGTCTCATCCCAGCCTCCCTCCCTCCCTCTGTCTGATAGAAGAGATCCGTACCTGGAAAAAAGCCAATAAATTATCTGTGGTTGCTATATACAAAAAAAAAAAAAAAAAAAAACCTTGTTAAAGCATCATAAATGTGACACAAAGTGATCAGGACTTCAGGAGTCAAACTGGACACAGGTAAATAGTTTAAAACAAAAAGGAGCTGAAGCTTCAGGAGGTTAAAAACAAACAACAGTAATCCAAAATTATGTGATGGAGTAGACAGCTAAATCCAAACTAACCTTGACCAAAGACCCAAAAACCTGCTCAATGCAAATACAGACAGTACTATTCATGCAGAGATAAAGAATAATACAAGGCAGCTGTGGAAATTAGAGGCGAGGATAAGATGTGCAGGAGAGCCGAAAACAGGACTGAAGGGATAAAATGGAGCTCTCTGCAAAATAACACTGCAGGTGGGGTTCACAAAGTATGAAACCTTAAAACTTAAACTATGATACACAAGTGAGAAAAAATCCCTATAGATCACATCGCTTTAAAAGACTTGTCTAAACATTTATCTAAAGTTAAAAATCAAGTGATCCTAATCTAAACCAAAACCCGACAGTCCAGCAATGAATTATTAAGAAGAAACACATTTTCTGTCTTGTTAAACTGTAAAATAATTCCTCTTTTATTAATGTGCTCCAGCTCAAAAGATACGATCTATTTTATTGTTTTTAATAAAAAAAAAATAAAAAAAATAAAAWAATAAAACATGTTTTACAGTTGAAGGCCACTCGAATGTCATCATGGCTCATTACCTTCACACACTGCAGCCATTAAGACCCAACATAAATAACATCTAGGTTTCAATATTTCCTGCAGATTTAGTCGTCTTTGTTTTTACTCTTTGCACATTCATGTAACACATAATTAAATGTAATCTCCCCAATCAAACAGAGATGCTGTCATGGGGAAGCCCAGTGAGTCTGAGCCCTTTTGCTTTGTTATCAGTGCCCAGCATTGATTTTTCCCGTTGCTTCCTTTCAGCTATAGCGTGGCATTGATTGACGTCCCGCGTTAACGCTCTGCAGGACAAGTCCCCTGATCCGTGCCAGGGTGGGGAGGGTTCAGCACTGGCGATTGATGCCATGCAGCGTTAACAAGAGGAGCATTTGTTTTTGTGCTGAAAACGAGCCACCGGCAGAGAGTGCTTTTAAACACGCCTGGTCGACGATCAGCGGGAGGAAAGTTTGAGTGATGGATCAGAGGTCAAGATTAATGACAGTTTAAGGTATATTGTTCTTAATCAACTTCATAATTTCTAAACTGAAGATCAGATCAACGAAATGTACCTAAATGTTTTTTTTTTTGTTTTGTTTTTTACTGTTGCRGAGAAGTATGCCAAAAAATTCAGTCAAGTTTTCTACTATGAAGATTATTAGTAAAATTTCTTGTCAAACAATGAGAAAAAAGTACAGAATTTAATTAAAATAATTAAACAAATCACTTGGTTTTATTTTTGCCTTAATGTTGCTAAGATCAGCTTTTCTGGCAGAGGTTCCTGTTTGAATCTGGTCCAATGAAAGGTGAAGAAGAAGCCATCGGGGGTTCTAAATGCTGCTCGTTTCCAGCACCCATGGAGCTGCTCAGTCCCTCCAAGAGGAAGGACTGCCCTCAGAACGTCACAGAGAAGGTCACGCAGGTACGAGGGTCAGGAATATCAAACTCGTATTGGTCATTCAGGTGATTCGTTGTGACCCAACAGTGTGTTTAAAGCCGTTCAGGTTCAGTCAGTCATCCCAGTTTTCAGTCTGTGTTCTGAACTCTGTGAAAAGACTGCTGTCGTGACGGAGGGCTGCTGTTAATTAACCTACTAATGGAAAAATCACTGGCTTGTTGGCTGGATATTTTCCTCATGGGTGAGAAAAACAAACATTGAGTGACGGTTCGTTTCGGACATAACTGTTGTTTCTGCATCACTGAATGCAAAACAAATGCAAGGGAGGAGCTTGCAACAACCCATGACCTTCCAATTCCCGCCTATGTAATCGTATAGATCTATATGGCTGATGGATCTATTAGTGAGGTCAGTGACATTTTTCAGGAAGGCAAATGTTAATTTGAAATTGGGGCAGAGGCAATAATGCGACTGTGGAACGAAACAAACTCGCCTGTCTGACACCCGATCCATCATTACAGCCTTCCAACCCACCAGCAATTCAGTTAGCCTTCACAGCAACGGTTAAAGGACGCTGTTGCCTGTTGGCAGTTTTTTGTTGTTGTTTATTTTCTGGACTTGATCGCTATGAAAAGTCCCCAGTGACAGGATGGTCAAGCAGTTAATGGACTTGCAAGGTCACAAAACAAGAGCAAACAGCATCCACCAAGAACTTGGTCAAATGAGTACGTCGTCTACAAAGGTCTGTTGGAAAGTTTTGTTTGAAAGATAGATTTATTGCTGTAGAAAGTTCTAGATTTATGATTCGCAATGTTTTGAAACTAACATAAAACAGTAAGAGTTCCCTGATAAATGTTTAATCAAATAGTAAAGGCTCATTGATGCATTTTTGTTCTTAGGTGTTTTCTTTGGAGTCAGATGTACTTCCTGAATATAAACTCCAGGCACCAGAGACAAGATGGTGGATTTTGCTTCACTACAGCCCCTTCAAGGCATTTTGGGACTGGATTATTCTCCTCCTGGTTCTTTACACAGCTGTTTTCACTCCGTACTCAGCTGCCTTCCTCTTAGATGAACATGGAGGGTTTAGACAAAGGAGATGTGGCTACACGTGTAACCCTTTGAATATAGTAGACCTCATGGTGGACGTGCTGTTTATTGTGGACATAGTCATCAACTTTCGCACCACGTACGTCGACCAAAAGGACGTGGTGATCACGCAGCCAAGCCGGATAGCCAAACATTATATCAAAGGCTGGTTTTTTATTGATCTTTTTGCAGCAATCCCCTTTGACCTTGTTATTTTTAGATCTGGGTCTGATGAGGTAAGGCATATGGTTCTCTGATATTTTCCAAAATACAAAATTTATATTATGATTTTAACTCTAAAAACATTAAAATGTTGTGTAAAATGTAAAGATAAATGGAATACAATGACGTGCAGATCTTAAAACCCCATATTTTATTCACGATAAACATGGGAAACATATCAAATGTTTAAACTAACAAATTTTAACATTTCTTGGAGAAAAAAAGTAAAGTCATCTCCTCTTTTTTTAACAACAGATTGTAAATCTTTTGGAGCCGAGGAAACCAGCTACCGGAATTTTTAGTCGTTTTAACAGTTCTGGGTCTTTTATCTAGAGGGAGAATATGTTTTTCTATAATATGTATATGATGTTCTGCTTTGATGGTGTCTTTCAGGTGTGTAAGTTGCCCGCACTGATGCACCCTCATACCATCAGAGAGGCCGTTTTTTGAACCGCGCACTTTGAACTGGCTGGAATGGTTCTCTTTAGTACAGAGGCAGTGGTGGTCAGTGTTTCCAAATTTGTCTGACCATAACAAGTTTTTATGTTTTTGTTTTATTATTATTATTTTTTTGCCTCAGTTCATTTTAAATGAGCTATAATGGTGTTTCTGGATGGTGACCACACATAGCTTCTTTGTGTGATAGAGCTTAAATGTGTGGAACAGATTAAGGCAGTGCTGCCCGAGGGCCTGAAGATCACACGTCCAATACTGACTTTCAGGCTTGTTCTTTGTGGACAGATTTCCTAAAAACCTGTACAATAGGTTGCTTTCCGGCCCAGGCCTCCCTTGACGAAGAGATCTGAGATCTCACTGGGACCTGCCTGGTTAAACAAAGATAAATAAATAAATAATTTCTCCAAATTCTTCAAATCTTTTGATGATATTATGGACTGCTTTCATGTCGAGAAACATACAGAAATTGTTCCAGTATTTTTAGACATCGTTTTAATAAACTAGTGAGCTTCTGCACATCTTTACTTCTAAAAAGCTCCCTAAAGTGCTTGTCTTGTACCAAGTCTTCTTATTGATCATTTGACAAATAACCTAATTAGTTGCAAAACAATCTTCCAGCTAATTCTTACTCATATCACTTACTTTGATAGCTTTTTGTTGCCCTTGTCCCAACATTTCCCCCCTAAAAATTGCACAGTTTTTTAGATTTAAATATTTACTGTTTTGTTAAAAAAGGATTGGAAGATGATCAAACTGTTGCATTCTGTTTTATTTACATTTTGCACAAAGTTCCAACTTTTTTAGAAGTGTAGTATTGTTTTGGAAATTTTACAGTTTTTAAATTTTTGTTGTTTTTAAGTAACTGAATACTGAGTGCCTAATCTTGCCTTATATCTTCTCCCTTGTTCTATAATGGAAACCAAAGATGGCAACCTTAACAAGCCTACTTAAAACAGCTCGGCTGTTGAGACTGGTCCGTGTGGCAAGAAAGCTGGACCGATATTCTGAATACGGAGCTGCAGTCCTCTTCTTGCTCATGTGTACGTTTGTTCTCATCGCTCATTGGCTYGCCTGCATTTGGTACGCCATTGGCTTTGTGGAGAGGCCGTACACCGAGACTGGTTGGCTGGACAAYCTGGCTGAACAACTAGGAAAGACGTACAATGACAGTGATTCCACCTCTGGTCCGTCAGTCAAAGACAAATATGTCACCGCCCTCTACTTCACTTTGAGCAGTTTGACAAGTGTGGGGTTTGGTAACGTCTCTCCAAACACTAACTCTGAGAAGATTTTCTCCATCTGTGTCATGGTCATTGGATGTGAGTTGAATAAAGCAATTTAAGACTGTATGAAAATCATTGGGGGTGGCATAACAAGCTATAAACTTCAAACCCAATTAATGAAAAGAGACAACAATATTAAGAAAAAATTGCACATAAAGATTCTCCATATATACCAATTCTAATTTGGACAGGCAGGACAAACCGGGATGTGGTTGTGATCAGGCCTTAACCTTCAACTCTTACATTCAAATTTTGAGTTATTTCCTTTTGATGAGCCAAACTTTAGCCATCAGTGCATGTTGGCTATTACCAAGCTTTGTGTATGACTCCTAGTGTGACAAGTGAAGCTCATTTCACCTGTCACACTAAGAGCCATTCACAAAACTGTACAGGTGACTCTTAGTCTAAAATAAAGGTTTAATTACTTTAAACTAAGTAGCACAAATTGCATCTATTAAACTAGTTGAAGAAGAAAAATTGGCAAAATTTAAACTCGCAACAGAGCCATGGATTCCCAGGTCGGCACAATCATGAACATCTGGAACCATTAAAATTGATTCCTTTGGACAGCATTCTGGTAGCTGTGTAATGGCTCTGTTAACATTTTATGAATTGCCGCAGTGGACTGCTGGATATCCAGCTTTGCCTATGTGCATTATAAAATTTTCATTGCAAGAGACTGTGATTCTATTTTGTGATATTATTTTAGCCAAAAGACACTGCGAGTTGGTGAACTACTGAACCTTCTTTTTAAGCACCATTTGTCCTAATTAACTACAGGAAATTTTGACTTTAAACTTTGACCACTGTAGACATCCCAAATATCTGGGGTGATATTAACCTCAAGAAATTTGTTGCGCTAAAAGTCCTTTGTTTTACTACTCTATGTGTAAATCGTGCACATCATGTTGCACAGTACACAACATTTGTATAGTAACATGGCTATTGTTCGATTGAGAAAACGGGAACAAACTAAACAGGGTCATCCAAAACTGGAGAAGGTTAACATTGGCCCATTTGTCCCCAACAATTGCAGACCAGTGAGGTACTCCCGTTTGTGTGGCCAAGAAGGTGATCATTAGGAACAAAATATGTAGCGTGTACAAATGTTCTTGCACTCAGAATAGGAAAGAATAGAAGCATGTGTTGGGAAGCTGTTTATGAAACTCTGCAATCATTTTTGTACAGTCCTTTAACAGAGCAAGAACTTGTTTTTGGAATCCTGTTAAAGCTTTAACAAAAGTTATCTGTGTTTTTGCACCATTTTTTCCCTTCCTCATCAGCTCTCATGTATGCCAGTATATTTGGGAATGTGTCTGCCATCATCCAGCGGCTGTACTCGGGTACTACCCGTTACCACACCCAGATGCTGCGGGTCAAAGAGTTTATCCGCTTTCACCAAATTCCAGGTGCTCTTCGGCAAAGACTGGAGGAGTACTTTCAGCATGCCTGGTCCTACACAAATGGCATAGACATGAATGCTGTATGTAAAGACGTGCTAACCACAATGGCACAAAGTTTCCTTTCTTGTGTCTTATTGTTGAAATGGTGATTTTGTGTTCCCTTTGTAAGGTGTTGAAGGGATTTCCAGTGTCTCTGCAGGCAGACATCTGTTTGCACCTCAATCGTTCTTTGCTGCACAACTGCAAAGCTTTCCGTGGAGGAAGTAAAGCTTGTCTACGCGCATTAGCGATGAGAATCAGAACTGTCCATGCTCCTCCGGGGGACACTTTGATTCATTACGGAGACCTCCTGGACTCACTCTTCTTCATCTCACGTGGATCCATCCAAGTCATGAGGGATTATGTGGTGATAGCCTTATTAGGTACAGCTAATAAACCGTACACTTCCATGTAAATGCTTTTTTTGGTGGTGTCAAAGAAATAAACCATCTTCGTTTTCATGCAGAAAAGAACGACATCTTCGGGGAGCTCATCCACATGTTTGATGAACCAGGAAGGGCCAACGCAGATGTGTACACCATCACTTACTGTGACTTGCACTGCATCCCAAGGGAAGATCTTCTGGAGGTTCTTGATATTTACCCAAATTTTGCTGACAACTTCTGGAGGAACCTGGAAATCACTTTTGATCTACGAGATGTGCGCTGGGACACAATACAATAAAAAAAACACGTGTTAATTTTAAATGTATGACATCTGATCATTATTATTATTATTTTATGTGATCACCAGACTGATCCAATGCCGCCGATAATAGCTGATGATTCTGGGGATGACAGTGAATATCGCCACAAACAAAAACACAGAAATCACTCCCTTGACTGCAGAATAAGGCCAGGTGAGTAATTAATCTGTGTAATTTAATAGTTAAACAAAAAACATTAAGAATCAGCCTTATAAAAAGACTCTTCAACTAATCTGACTTGATTTATTTATTTTCAACAAATCAATGATATCCTCTTCAATTGTCAGTATAGTTAGTTAAGCTGTTATCTCAAGTTCATTTAAACCAGAGCACAAAGTTCTAATTATTCCTTAATGGCAAAGTAATCAATATTAGGATTGTCTTTTTATTAGTATTTCTTCTTCATCTCTGTCAGAGCAGGCTCCCTGATGGCCTGAATGGGATTGTGAGACAAATAATGTGCTGCAGTGGATTGACTAAATACTGTAGTTTTCCTGTAAATAGATGGAATCGATCATGAAGACTCGTATCATCTTCAGTCCTGCCATCACTCACCTCCTCAGGCCGGCTGGGAGGATCTCTGGAGCAGTGGGTCCTCGTGTTCCCAGTCGAGCGAAGGCCTGGCCAAGCCTATCACTCACAATGCTGGAACAGAGCTTTACCCTCCTTCTGTGGTTCAACTGCTGCCTCAAAGTGGAACTACAGATGCGGCATTGGACCGAGGTCACCAAGGTAGGAAGGACCTTTGATTTGAGACTTGATTAAAAGGCTTAAATATGTTAATCGGCTTGTTTTTGTTGACCTTAGCCTCATCTTTGAATGTGCCTGGAATGTATCGCTACTGGTCAGATCAACAGTCTCAGCAGTTCTCCAGTCATGTCCTACGATCATCTTCAGCCTGCAACTCGAACCACCCACCACTGGTCACAGAAGAGAGGCCCAGTGAGCTCGAGTCTCAACTTCAAGTCTTGCAATCGCAGCTCAACAGGTGCACTACTAAGGGGTGCCATTTGTAAAGTTACACAGTCAAAAATTACCACCAATATTTTTGTTTTATTTAGTCTTTTATAAGAAAAAAACAAACGGATTTATTTCTCAAAGTCAGTTTTTCACCACATGATTCATACATTTATAAATGTCATAGTTTATAAACTA